ATTGGTAGTTTTGACGTCTAAAGTAACGACCGCCGAATAAAATAATACGTATCGGCAGGTTTGATATTGCAACAAATCAGTCAAATTTTAATTATAACCAGCAATTCGTGTAAACACTAAAAAATCATTTGTCCCTTTACGTCATGGTAGCATTCATTAACAAAGGAATATTTAAAACGAAATTATACAACAAAATATGCGAGCAGGATATGACTTTCTCTTAAAAGTCAAGTGGAACAAGCTAAAAGTCATGTGAAAGGAAACACTTTCCTTTCAACAACAATAACATGTATTTTCAATTCTTTTGAGTCTACTGTGTACCACAAAAAAAATGTGTTTTTTATTAAACTTTCCTAAATTTTTATAATGGTCTATAATCATGATATATATAAATGCTTCCAACAGAGGTGCTTGCAGTAGAAGAATACAAAAAAATAAGTGATTTCTTTCTCCACTTTTTCAAATGATGAAAACATATAATGTTTTCTTGGGTTAACATGAGTAGCCTATCAGGTCAACCTAAAAGGGTTTAGACAGGGCAATACTGAAATGGCCGGTCTCCCGATTTAAAACAATTTCTTTTATAGTGAAAAGATGAATTATAAATGCTCCTTTGGTACAGCTCTGCATTCATTTAATATGTCCCTTGGAATTCTGATTGGAGCCAAGTTGGTCAGATTGAAACCATTTGGTTTACTGGGATCCACTGCTTCATGTTTCCACTCATTTGAATCGACATCATAAACCTTCAATGAGCAGTTCTGGGTCAAATGTCTGCGCCACCAGCCAAGCACAAACAAGTCTCCTTTAAAGCTGACAACACCAAATGGCCATGTTGGGATTCCTGTGCTCTCGATACCGGTCCACGTGTTTGAGTCAGGATCGTACATTTCAATAAGACTTGAACATGAATCGAATTGCCGACTTTTAAATCCACCAAAGACGTAGACTTTGCCTCTGAAAATTGCACCAAAGGAATGGGCTTTCTTTTCCAGTGTCCTGGCATGCTTATGCCAGGAATTTCGGTGAGGGTCATAGCTCTCCACTACATCTAAGCGTTCATTATTGGACTCACCACCTATTGCATATAAAGAGTTTCTATCAGCCACTGCACATATAGCAGATCTGCCAACTCTTAAGGAAGCTAACACTTGCCAATGATCTGTGTCAGGACTGTATTTATAGACACGATTACTTCCTTTCTCCTTGTTCCTTTGCTGTTCTTTTTTCCCGCCAATTACAAACAGAGATCCTTGAAAGTTAACAACTGCAGGCAAAATGCAAGCAATTGCACTAGTGTAAGAATTCAAACGTGTCCACGAGTTTCTGGATGGATTATATTCCTCTATTGTAGATTGATGAGGATTAAAAGTTCCCCCAGTGACATAAAGTTTGCCATCACAGGCAGCCATATGAAAAGGAAACAATTTTGGACTCAGGTAGTTTGCCATCTCATACCATCTGTTTTCGGTAGGGACATAACCGTAGAGTTTCTCCTTTCCACAACCAACAAGGCAATCTTCAAACTTCTTTAGACAAATTCTTGGTGGCTGAGCAAAATAGCATTCTTCTGTTCCAGTGGAGACGTCTTTCATTGCATCTTGTGCAAACGCGGTACACGTCTCAGATCCTTTCACCAAGGGATACGACAAAACCTCATTAAAAACATACGTGGGTGACATGTAAATAATACGAACATGGCGAAACAACTCGAAAAACCGTTCTTGCTCTTTTCGCTTGTTTTCTTCAATCCACCTAGTAATCACTTTAAAAACGTCTTCCTCTTCGTTCACCCTGATTTCATCGCTTGAAATCCATTCTTCAACTTGTTCTATGCTTAAATTCTGAAATTCTTCACAACCTGTCACACTCACAAAATTTTCAACGATACAATTTCTTGCTTTTTGCTGCAATTCGGGGCATTGATACCTCTGAGCAGAATAATAAAGTGTTATACAGTTTGAGGGAGTCAGCAGATTTTGCGAGATAAACTTGCCCGCAGCACATTTCAGACTCGGGATAATGAAGAATTCTGCCGTTTCCAGCAAATCAAAGGCATCGTATTGCGTGACTTCAACACGCCCTGTGTAGACAAACTCTAGCACCTTTTCCATCGTAGTTTTGTTGGTTTCTTCCAAACGGATTACACCATCTTTCTTTTCTTTCATGTCGTTGGTGAGGGCGCTGTAAAAGAACGGACTTGCTGCACAAAGCACGTTTCCGTGAGCTTTCAAACGGGCCTTGCCGTCACCAGAGCCGACATCTAGAATCACGTCACAGAAAGACTCGTTCTTTCGTTGAATATCGAGGCGTTTCATCATTTCAACACAAAACTGTTGCATATCGTCGCTTGCTATTGGTTCAAGTAGCGAATTCATGTCTTGGTTGTTATAAAGAGCGTGCTTTACTTGACTATAGACGGCCATTTTGAATTTGAATTTTTTGAGTATCGGTAGAGGTCTGGTCCCGAGAAATCTTCGGAAGCCGATCTTCCGTAGCCTCCACGCAGACGTCCTTTGGGGTTCGTTTGTCACGCATTCATTTCTCCCCCACGGTCCGTGGGGGAGAAATGAATGCGTGACAAACGAACCGCAAAGGACGTCTGCGGGGAGGCTAATCTTCCGAGGATTTTCTGCAATGTGTATGTCAGCCTTATGTCAGCCACGCTAGAAAGAACGGAGAAGACGATTCTGCATTGAACTAACAAGGTAAGACGGAAACAATTCCGCATACAAATTCTAGCTACCAGAGGGATTTTTAAATAAGCGTTTTAGGCACATAAGAACTTAAGCTGCTCACTTGTGGGCTAAGAGTTTTTTTAAAGCTTATTAGGTCTTACTAGGATCAAATGCAAAGTAGAAGGGCGAGGAAACAAGCTTGGATCTTGGTTGTAAATTTGTCTATTTGTGAACAAAGAGCATGAATGATGTTGGGTAGTTGTTTATACCCCAATCAAATATACAGGGATGTTGGGCGGGAGGATGTTCCCCGGCCAAGAATGTATCCATTGCTGGTTTTCAACCAAGTGACAACGTTGATGGGCAAGACAATTTAGAACACTTTTTTGCAGAATTTGCATGAAAAAAGAATAAAGTTTTTACTTTGCTTTTGTTCTTAACCACGAGCATGGCCGCCATGAGGTCAGATGCTCTGAAAATCAGCATTACACTGAGATTTGTTAAGCCCAAAAGGGCATTATTTTACTACCCTCGGTGTAATATTTGAAATGCTGACATATTCAAAAGATGAGCTTTGGTACAAGCTAGTGCCCAGAGTGAGGTGTTATACTTGATCGTTGATTTATTTCTTAAAATAATGAGGCATCATTTTGAAGGCAAAATCTGTCAAAGAAAAGGTCCAGCAGATTACAGTAGGTGGCAGTTATTGGCCCAAAACCTACCCCAGTGTTGCTGTTTGGTAACCACATTAAAAGGAAAAAGTGGTTTTGAAGAGCATTTTTTTCATACACCAGATACAATTTGTTACATGTAGCGTATTTATCAGCCATTGAAAAAGACAGAAACAGCTTAAAGCACAGTTTTATTCATTTACCATGGTTTGTAATGCATTTTAATACATTTCTGTTTATCTTACAATCTCCCAAAAGGCAGCAAAACCAGCTACGTTCGGGAGTATATCACCTAAAACCTACTGCCCAAGGCTTAATTAGTTCAACAAACACTACAAGAAATATAAAGCTCCTGCAATAAGGTTATATATTGGCTTTATATACATAGTGGTTTCTGATAAGGCAAAACGCCTTGTGCTAATTCTGAATTTGTTTGACTAACGCTACAGGCTTATTAAACAGTTAAGGCTCAGGGCTGTCTCTAAGGGCCAGAGTGCTGTTGATTTCCTCTAGCCACCATAAGCATGACCCGCTTAAGCACCATAAGCATGACCCAACTTAAGTTATTCTACCACTTTCTTATACACCATAAGTTTAGCTGTCTGTGGTAACAGTCTTCAAATGAGTGTAGACAAATCAACATTAATAATAACCCTACAGGTAATGGTTCTGTTACGCCATGTCATATCTGAATCCCATGGGAGAACTGTTGTATTTTGTGCAAAATTAATCAATTTGATTAAACCATAAATACCACAAAAAATCATGCACAGCTTTTTTCCAGGTCCTGGTAGTTAAGCCAAAGACAAGCAATATTTTAACAGACGTCATGAACCAGGAAACTGTTAGTGTGTCAACATGTGACTTTCACACAAACAAAAATTTAAAATCCAACATTTCATGGTGTTCAAGAATCTGAAACTTTGTAAAATTGATGACTTGTTGTTTGTGGTACAGAAAATAAATTGTGTGCACTTAATCACGCTCGTTTTTCCTTTTCCTACATTTTGTGTACTAGTAACAACGTATAGGAAATGAGGGTGAAAGACTTGAAGGCTGATCTTCCTAGATTATTACGTATAACTCGTGCTCCTAAATCCTTAATGAATTGCAATTGTCATGAATTTGCAAGCCAGAAAAACTTTTGCTCAGCATTTTCTGTTGTCTAGCTCTTGTCAAAATAAAGAGAAATTTCAAAGGCCCAGGTTTCATGTGGGAACCTTGATTGTGCAAAGTTATGTTGTTTTAATTAAGTGACAATAGTTCATAGTGTTTAAGAAAAGATGTTACAATAATGTGCTACTTTCAAACAACAGCTAAAACCCTAATGCTTACATTCATTAGCCAAGTAGTTTTGGGTGCAGTAGGTTTGCAAAAATCACTAAAACTAGTTTTGGTGCCTTGAATGAAGACCATAGGTAGAAACATAACTCCTTTAAACTCAAAAAATCCTCCCATAATACTCCACTCAGGCCATTGAGAAGTATATAAGTCCTGATGAAATTTTATGGTAACCTCATAATTATTATTCCTGCGTGTACTTTTGCAACAAATGAGTGTAGTAGCTGTAGGTGTTATAAACAGTTTAGATGTGGCCTCCATCAACCCCATAGTTGGTGGCTGCTGCCTTCTGTGGAGTGTCTTCCTTCTTTGGATCAGGGAGATAATTATTGACACCAGTGTAGAATGTTTTATGAAAACTTGTGCGCCAGTTCTTTGGCCAGTCCTTGATCAGCCATATTAGGATAGGAAGAGTGGAAGCAAGGACAATGAGAACAACTATGAATACCGCCCATCCAGGATAGTCAGTTTTCATTGTCCAGCTATCGGAGCCATTACCACTGTATGGATCCTGAGAAAGAGAAAGAATGCTTAACTTCCTGCCACATATTTAAAGGAAAGAATTTAACAGTGTGATTCCTCTAATTTGAGGTACATGTGTGCATTTTTTCTTTGTATTCACCACAAAATTACCAGTTTTTCTAATGTACCATTAACTTCAAAATGCATGGAATAACAATTATGTAGTAACAAGTATTATGAGAAAGGTTTTTCAGAAAGGCAGAGCACCATAATTAAGGCAAAGTGGTTAAAGATTTCAAACTTAATATTACAGCATGCAAACTCTTGACCTGTACAGGACATTTAAAGATTATAAGACAAGCATTGTTTAAAATATTTTTTATCCAATTGGTTTCAATAGTTTTCCTCAAGAAATAGAGCTGAATATTTTGGCGTAATTTAGTGAATATACTAGAAAATGACCATTTACCTGTTTACATCCAACAAATTTGGAATACTGGGGAGGTTTTTGGCTCTGTTGAGCAACAAGAGCAACAAGAACAACAAACAAAGCAGTTGGAGAGATGTACTTCCAACAGATCATCCAGCCGATCCATGGTCGTTTTCCTGTCATGAATTCAATGTCGTCAGCAAATCTGTTGATTTAGATCACACAAAGAGTTCAATGAAAGAGTGTTTGGTCCTTAAATGCACCTTACTTTTATCCAAATGAAAAGCTGTGCCACATTTTGTGACTATTGTCATCAGAATTCTTGTTCGTGACCATTTGGAACTTTTGCTTATGTGTATTTCACTTTGTTGTACACTAACTTAGTCTCATACCTGTCATTTCCGTAAACCCATGCTACTCCAATGCACTGGAACAAGGCAATAACCAGCAATGGAATGGTAACAGAATAGTCATCAAACATTTGAAAGATGTAAAAACCAGGGCCAGAAACCATGCACAAGCCAACCAGGAACAGGATAACAGCAACAAGGAGCGTCAACAATTCCTTCCTCATGTTAGGGAAGATCTTTAACTCCATCAATGGCCCAATGGCTGCTTCCAGGGTTCCAAACTCACTGTCAATTCCAAGGAGAATCAACATCAGGAAGAAAAGAATGGCCCAGAGTGGAGACACATCCATTAGCAGAATGGCATCAGAAAATGTCATGAATGCAAGGCCTGGACCTGATCCAACCTGTTGGTGAAAAATATGACTCATAAATAATCTGCATAAGGTTGCTTAGTGTTGATGAGTGCAATAAATGCCCACTTAAAAGGCCGGGATGCCTGCTAAGTAATTTTCATGGAAGAATTCTTACCTCAGTGACTGGGATTCCTGTTATATGTTCTCGGTATCCCAGAATAGAAAACACCACAATGCCAGCAAATAGTGATGTGCCACAGTTGACAAATACCACAGTGTAAGCATCTCGCATTACTTGATTGTGAATAGGCATGTAGCTGGCAAATGCAATTAGGGCACCAAAACCCAGGCTGAGAGTAAAGAACATCTGTGTAGCAGCATCCTTCCAAATATTAGCGTCCTTCAGCAGCTCCCACTGCAATACATTATAATTTAATAGGACGGGTATTAACACTTAAAAGCGCTACGAATGATCAGAATCAAATTTCTCCTGTTACTACAGTTATCACAGGTTTGTCAAACAGAAATCATGATAATAATTAAACCTAGAAATGGCGATGGTGGGTTGTCTTGATTTTTCACCTAATTCTCCTCAGTTTCTTTAAATGAAGTGTCCAAATACAATAAAGGAGAGTTTTGAAGGGTGTAGCTTTATACACAAGAGCAAAAGTAGGGTAAAGGGTAAAATATGATGGGCCAAAATCTTGCTTATCAATTTAACATTTCACTTCATAAAGGTCTAAAATCAGTGACTCAAAGAATACCAGGAGAACGAGCTGTTAACGTCGTTAAAAATAAGTGGAACCACGATTTCCAGACCATGTGACCCACAATTTTGTTGATACCATTTGTGACCAGCAGGAAAGATTTATTTGCTAGAGCTAAGTGCTTACATTGGGGTTGAAAAAAGCCTTGACACCTTTTCCTGCTCCTTCCAAGGTAACACCTCTGAAGAACAAGATGATCAGAATAACATATGGAAAGGTAGCGGTGAAGTACACAACCTGTTGGTAAGACAGAATTTCAATGTCTCAGTAAGAGCGTATATAATGTTGTATCCAGTAATTTAAGATAACAATTGATAAATCCCACACCACATTTGTGGTTGGTGGCCAAATTGGTTTGTCAGGTTATGAATACCAAGCATAATCTCTTAATGTTTCTTTCTCAGACCCGTTAGACTGTTCACAGTCTCCTATTTTTCTGTGAGATCGTCGAGATCGAGCACATCTTACCATTAATGGCGGCCATTTTGATTTTCAGTTGTACCAAGTCTAACCTGGGGAAGAGTATCAAATCTACTTAGGTGGTGCGGAACGGTTTGGGAGGAGGGGAGAAAAATATTTTTCTCGCCCCTCTCCCCCTAGAGCTACAATCCCCAACGCCCGCACCCTTGGTACATCTGAAAATCAAGATGGCCACCCTTAGTTGATATTATAGTTCTTGCCAAACGTTGATGATGTTTGAAACTTTATTTAACTATGATGACCATTTAGCCCCAGCTTTACTGTCATTAAACAATACCTTTCCACTTGATTTAATCCCTTTGACCACACAAAGATATGTGATAATCCAGGCAAACACAAGACATCCAACAAGTTTACCATTCAATCCAACACCACTTGATTCAATGTCTGTTGAGATCTGCAGTGCATGGTGATAGAAATAGTATTGTGGTGGATCTCTTACGCAGCAGTCAGGGAACGTCTCGTAGTTCGTCTTCAGTGTTGTGTAGTTTGTTGCAAGACATGTGGTGTTTAATTTGCAAGCCTCAAGCTCTCTCTCTAGAGCCTTGAAAGTGTTATAGCCAGGACACAGCTTGTCATGCACCCATGGCAGTGAGTTGGTAAATGAGATAAAAAAGTAATAACAACACCATGCTATTACAATTACATAGTACAGACACAGCATAAGAGAAACCATTAAACATGCCACACCAATTCCAAACAAGGCAGGGTGAACATCTTGCCAGCATCGTATGGCACTTTTTCTCATTCGTTGACCAATACTTAGCTCCAGAAAGAAGAGTGGTAACCCTTCTATCACCATGAAGATTACATACGGAATAAGAAAAGCACCTGTTGAGCAGCCAAAAAACCAAATGTGAAATTCGATGACACTACAAGGTTCTTAAAACTCATTAGAAGACATTTTTTAAAAAGGGTTAAATTAGAAAAATAATATAGTTTATAAAGATTGAGAAAAACATATCATTAACATCATTTGCACTATGGGTAAGATTCTCAAGACTGCAAGACTTCAAGACTTTGTTATAATGAGTTTATGACAATAGCAATAATAATGAGTCAAAGTTAAAGCTTGTTGTCAATAATTATTGAGTCAGCTTGAAGAAAAGAGATGAGAAATGCAAGTCAAGACAACTATTTACTCACTGCCATTTTTTTAAAATCAGGACATGGAATTTTGATTGATAAAATTGATCATTCTTTTTACAGTAAAGAAAACTGAATTTATAGGACCTTTTTATTGTCCTAACCAAATGCTCACGGTTATCGAAATAATACAACTAACAGTGAAATACAAGCGTACAAAAGAATAAAGGTATTTTGCAGGGTAAATAAATGTATTGAAAGTTATTAAATGGACAAGTGTTCTAAATTGTTGAACACACTAGTCAGGGATGTAGCTAAAACTGCCTAAAGAGAGCTTAACACCGGTTCAATAAAATTGTCGCTCTCAAATACAAAGACATGGGGTGATTTTCAAAGTGCAGTTAAGTAAAAAGTCGGCTTGAAGATAACTTTTCCATAGCTACATCCCTAACTGGCCTTAAAACAATTTGAAATGATTAGCGTTACTAAACCCGTTAGGGTAAAATAGCAGGTTTCCTGTAGCAAGGGCCAGGGACGGAAATAAGGTTTGATCATAAGGTAAAAGATGATTGAGTATTGGTTGATATCGTCTATAAAAAAAAGTTGGCCAGAACGAATTGAAGACATTGTAAATTACTGAAAGTATGTCGATAAACCTCTTTAAAAAAACATGACGGAATAAAACTACTTTTAATTGATTTCAGAAAACCAAGTGATAAACGTTTCAGAATTCAGACTGCCAATTCAAATTAGCTCCTGGAAAAAAGTTTTGATTTTCATTCCCTGGGATTTCACACTGTAGCTTTAAACAATGAAACCAGTCTTACAAAAATGAAACTAGTTGCAAAAATGAATGAAACTAAACGGAAATTGAACTGTAACGCACACGCAAGTTAATGTTCGTGGGTCACACAATAACTCACTAAATGAATATTGTTATATTCTTATTTATTTATTTATTTATTTATCTATTTATTTATTTAATTCTTGTATTTTGATTGGCCATTGATTTTGTTAATTTGTAAGGCTCAGTCTTGTGTGATTTTTAACATTGAATATTTTATGGATACGGCGGAATATTAGATTCAGCACTTATTTGAATCGTACTTGCGCCCCCATGCCTTCCTTAGGATAAAGTTTTACAAATGTTTTTAATTTGCAAAATAGTAAGTTAAGTTGCGTATGAATAAGTAATGTTCATGTACTTATTTCGTGTTCATTCGCTCCGTGTAAATATTGTGGTCCAATAGTCACGACATTAAAAATTGATTCAAGATTACTACGGCTTACTATGTCAACATATAAATGCAAATTTCTGATTAGTTTTTAGCTTTGCAGTATAAATGGGAAAATTTACAAGTGAATTTCGTGGATACTAGTGTATTTCTTTAGGAGATCATCAGTCGATCAATTTCAATGATTTCGAGTAAGATCAATAACAGTTTGATTAAAAATAAATTTGATCTTTTGAAAAGCGCTCAGACGCGACCTGACCTCTCAACGTAATTCGAACACATGGATGGTTGTTTTCATAAGGAAGCTAGTGGTGGTCTGTACGATCTCCTACTATGTCAAACTTAGCAGTAAGGAAATTGATTTAAACTATCCTCCTTACCTCCTCCATTTTTCTGGCACAGGTACGGAAACCTCCAAACATTACCCAAGCCGACGGCCAAGCCGATTGTTGCTAGAATAAATTCCGCCTTGTGACCCCAGGTTTCGCGTTTTTCTTTTCCTCCTTCGCCAGTCTCAGTTTGGGCGATGTCGGTGTTCGATTTTCCATTCCATTCCTTAGGTTCATAAGCAAGATCATCTTTTGCTTTATGCATTAGTAGATCGGTGGACTTGTCGTCTCGAACATTTGGTAGATCCACTCCTGAAGAAAGAAGATGCAGAAATATTACAACAAAAACAAATCTAGAAAAACGACACAGCTACAGATCGAGTCTTCGCGGGTTTGTTTAAAAATACGTTGAACATCGAAGTTTGTGAGCAGTTTACCTAGTTGATTAGCCATAATGTTGATTTCGCGTTTTATGTTTGCTGGGAGTTGAAAACGGCTACGATAACGCAATCAATCATACAACTGAATACAAGTTCTCTTTTCACCGTGCTCAAGATGACTTTGATGTGACTACAAATCTCGTCCGTTATATCTTGTAAGAGATGTGATTTGGATCAGGATCGTTCAGCAGCAAGAGCGACAAAAATACGGCGTAGGAAGGTCAGGAAGATGAAGCTTGTGTTATGTGAGAAATGCGAGATCGAGTTAGCGTGTTTAACTACGATTAAGTGGAATGTGAACTATGTCAGTCATTGAATCCAACACGCACAGGATCTACGCTTCTATTCAATCAATCATTGTAAATGTGACCTTTGATCTAAAAAAAGGAAGCTTTGCATCAATTATGGGATTTAAAACAAAAGGCGATAGTTTCTTCACACTTGTTCGTTTGCTTCTTATTTTTTTACGTAAATAAGTGCAATTTTAAGTCCTTCTAATGTAAATTAATCATGAAAATGTCGGAAATGTTCCTTAAGAAAAGCGCGCGAATGAAAAAATTGGCGGGAAAGCAAAACACGTGCAGTGTGCGTGTTGACCTTTTCTAGACTCTGTTCATCGAAGGAAAAAAATCAACAAAAATGCCTCGGTTGTTTAAAGAAACCTTTGTGAGTGTATTTTCACCACAAATGTTATTAACGCTTTCCACACAATGCCACTTAAATCTCCATCTACCGAATCGTCATTATTTGACAACTTTTGGTGATAGGCCGGCCAACTAAGGCGGTTCGGTGCTGGATTGACTGAGGCTAATAAGAAACACATCACGAATTTTATGCCAGTTTACTTATACTAACAGGTGTATGTACTTAATACATTGGAATACTCGGTGGTAAGACCTTGAAATTCAGATTTGATGGTGTACATTATTAGTTTGACGTGATCAAACAACAACTCTTTTGGATTTGTCATAAACTAACGCCCACCACTTGTACTAATCAGTCATCTTCTTTTACACTTGTCTCTTTAGAATGTTGACGTTAATTTTTAAAGAAAGTTATAGTGTCATGTGTGAAGCCTTTTAGGAATTATAATTTTTTTTGTAAAAGTCAACTTATTTGCGAAGACTAATATGAGAAAGTCTTTTGTTAAACCAAGTCTGTATTAGCCATGTCATTTAAACCGGACGTGGATAAAATGGGGCTTCAAAATCAGTCTGGAAAAGCAGGAAGCTCATAATAGTCTTATAAGTCAACTGGACTTACTAACGGTTCCTTGCGGGGAGAGGGTGTGGCTACACGTAGGCTACTGGACTTACTAAACAAGCCGTGAAATTTGCTATATGAAGGTTTTTAACCGCTCTTGATTCTCAGAATGAACGACATTCATGTTTTCTCGCGATAGTGACCCTCTATAATGTCAAATGAAATCAGTTAGTTGGGTTGAAACATGACTTTACCCTGCGGACTGGCCGCTAGCAGTCAGCCGCCGGCTGCAACGTCTAATTTAAGAACTGTTTTAGTCAGGGGGTTCCGGACTAATAAAACAGTTGCTAAATGTTTTGCAGTTTTAACCACCAGTTTCCTTCACACTGACTCGCTTATGAAACGTCCGTTTTCGTTTGATAAAAAGTTCATTGGTAACTGAAGAATTTGCGACCTTGTGTGCACACTAAACCACCTTACAGTGAAACACTTAAAACACATTCACACAAACATTGTCCGAAGTGGAGCATTTTAATGTAGCACTTATAAATTGCCAGATCAGTGCGGACGTGAGGCCCATCAGAGAAAACATAAAAATTACCAATTTTGCTGAAGTAAGGGAAGAGGACTGAAAGTAAAGACTGAAGCAGGGTCCGCGCGGTTTGACTAGTGTGCTGGTTTGCAAAACAGGAAGTAAATTTGATACTGTCAAGTCGCTTAGGAAGTTTTTGACTTATTTCACGATCAACAGCGTGTACAGCTGTCAGTCTGCCCACATTGTCTAACAAGAAGGTCATCAGGGTATTGTTATTCCTGTGATATATTTTGTATATAGCTTTTTTACAGTGCGCTGGTACGAACAGTAGGCCGTTGAGCTATTGAGAAAAAAAAAAAAAGATTTAGTTGTGTCGAAGACATTACATTTTTTACATGTTTTTAAATTAACGCGGTTAACTTCTACTATTTTTTTAAAGCTAACCGAACGATTTCTTTTCCTACGAACCATTCAAATAGTCGACGTGATGTTTGAAACGTCAAGCAAGGCCGATATAAACGACTGAGGGCTTAGGAAAATCCTGAGTGATTGTGAACTGTTAAAATGTTTAAGCACTTCAGATGAAAGATATAATGATTTGTTTAGGTGACCTCTCTAGCTGCCCTTCATGTTACGCCGTGGATTTCTACTTTTAGAACTCGATTGACCCTTGGAATTGATAAGAAATGGCATTAAGTAAAAACTTGATTGGGATGGGATACTAACTCGGCCAGTAACATATCCATAATGACTGGGTAGTTTTATAAGTAACCCCCTGAAAGTCGATTCCACGTGTACCAATATTTAACACCATGGTGGTCAGTTTCTCTCTTGCAACGCGTTTTTCAACTTCACGCTCTTGAAGACGCTATTTTTGGCTCAGGAATTTTATTAATGACAATATCATGTACCTTCTTTGGCATGACATTCAAGGTATTGATTGGTTTGTTTTACTTGCCTAATTTCACCGTAATTATCAACTATGATTTCAGTGAGGTCCGTGTGAACATAACTATTGGGTGAGATTTAAACTCAGTGATACAACCTTCGCTTGACTGTAATTGTTTTAGGAGGTTAACAAAAGAAGGCCGCCCTCCATATTTCTCAGTATCGATACCCATAAAAGATATTGCAGCCCTTGGGCTTTTCGCAGTTTTAACATACTGACGCGAGAAATCGCACTATCCATAAATGATTTTGTCGCGGGTTCAATCAGAAGTTGGATCGCTGAGATCTTGCAGCACTTTTCTTCCTCATCCAACCCATGTTCCGGTTGAGAGCACGTCAAAGACTAAATCAAATTGTTTTTTAAATATTGCGAGTGTAAGCAAAGGACGCGCAAGGCATTTGGTCGGGCGAGAGATAGTTAAAATTACATTCTGCAGCGTTGATTTGATTGTTTAGTAGTCATAGGATAACTTTTGTTAGATCGAAAGAAAAGGATCGCTCCAGCAGCGATCGATAACCCAAAACAACCATCATTAACGGAGAGAAGTATGTATATTTATGTTTTGACTATCACAAAGAGGATCTTATTCTGTTACTACCGTGACATAACCCCATCTTAACCTACCTTGACGACCTGACATCATTCACTGTTGCTTCTTTGATCAGTCGTGATAAGAAATATGCGGCTAAACTTCTTCGAAACAAGTATTCAGTATACACTCGTATTGCGAAATGGGAAAGGCATTTTGCGGTTCATTAGTCATGTAGCTTCACAATTATCAATTGAATTATCTCTTGAATGTGTTTGAATAACAAAGCAAGTGTTAGCTAAAGTTTTGGGGGTGGATTATAAAGTTAGTTCTGCTCTATCTGTTACACGTGACTAACAAATCAAGATTCTTTTAAAAGGCGCAGAGGATGAGGTTACAGGTCGTTCGGTAAATAGGAAGTGAAATGTTTTGGGGAGTATATCGTCTATTTTCCGTAGCATCGAAAGCTGTTCCAAGTTTGATGGCGTATGCAGCACTCCGTGAAATGAAGATGAAATATACGCCATTCATAGCAAAAACACGCTAATAAGATAAAAGGCCCCCTGGCATCCCATGGTTCAGTAGTAAAAAACATAGTGTTATGGTTTACACCAAAAGTTCGTCTAACCAATCAGATGACAGCACGAACACGTAAACTCCATGGCAAGCGTGGGAAAACTAAGTCGCCTCATCAACTGAAATGATGCATGAAACTACACGTTTCTGTTTTTCTGCCTGCCTTGATTACTCGGAGCATATTGCAAACTCTCGAACTCCTCAAGAGATCATAACAGTCGTATTATGATCTCTTGTACTCCTTCTTTCAGTCCCTCGAAAAATGATAATGATGATGATGAACGTATTATGTACGCGCCAATAGCATACAAACATCAAACACAAACAGCGGTGATAAACATTGGGAGTTTTCGCATCTTTATAAACTTGACATTTCGTATGCTATTCAACATACATTTTCAAAAGTGATCTTAAGTGACCGTTAAAGAAAATGACGATCTATCTTGAATAGCATAGGAAACATCAAGTTTATAAAGATGCGTAAACTCACAATGTTTGTCACCGCTGTTTGTGTTTTACTATTTATCAAACTTCGATGGCCCAAGAACAAAAGTCTCTAACACACAAACAGTTAAACACCGATAGTTAAGCGCACTATCTTAAATTATTGAAGTCTTTAATGCCTCCTAAAACAAATTCGCGTTCGTGACAACCAAGCACGACTATAGACCGTGCATTTTGCGGAAACATTTACTTGAAAAAAACATGACTCACCATTTTTTTCATTTGGTTCATACAGATGTTTTGTGATGAAAGAATGTTGCATTGCTCTTAAGTCTGTGCTTCGTGGACTTGGAGGAACATCTGGAAAAAAGGAACCAGTGGAAAACACTGAATACATGCTTTAGGGGACCCGGTCATTTCTTACGAGAGATACAGATCAGAGCTGCACAAGAATCTTAGCTCTGCAAGAAATATTATATTGTATATAGGTTTGGATTTATTTCAAGGACAAAAGACATACAATTGCTGTATGCCGTGAGACTGTATTAGCGGTTGTAGTCTCGTACCAGAGGTGCTTAATCTCTTGAGACCTGCAAGGTTATGATTTGTTTAAAATGATATTGGTCTTTTGAAACTTGTCGCTTAGTTGAGGTGGAGGAAAGAAGACGGGTAGGACTCTTAATAAAAGTTTGTATAAATGTATGTGCGGTTCTGTATATGCCGTGCGGTACGAAACTAAATAGTAATAAAAATGCCAAGTCGGATCTCACGTTGACACCAGATAACCTCAAGATAACCTTAATTATACTACTCTCTAGTCCTTCTATTGAGCACTCTGCCGATAGGCGTGCATACGTATCAACTGGTATAAATGTATGTATAAATACGTTTGACCATTTTGTAAATCGTTGTAAATGTTATTAAATTTTGTTTTCAATTTCTAATAGAAAATAATATCCTCTGTAACCCAAGGTAAGGTCCAGGTCACCGCCGACCTTAGTTTGACACTCCCATACTTCATTTCGGTCTTGATGCTGCAAGTTGCGAAATCATAATTCGAGTTTCCCTGCTTAGTTTTCCTCATTAGTTATTACGTGAAGGAAAATTTTCTGGCATGATTGCTCTTTTTTCACCACTGGTATATATCTACTCTAAGTTTTATAGATCTTTTTATTTCCAATAAAGACGCTTATATTGGAGTATGCCTCCTATGCAGTTTTGTTATCACTTTATCACATTCTGTACGAGAAGTTTGTTTTAAAAATCTTAACTTGCACTCTGACAAGAGGGGACCCAATACAACAGTCACTTGGTTTTTGTTTGAGTTTTGGTGTTTTCTTCTGTCAACTTTCGTCAGTCACCACATGTATTTTGTTTTACGAATGCTGATCAGAAATATGCCACCTTATGCAGTCTGAATGCAGCCTGAAGACCGTTAATTTGATTATGCGATTATCAGTCAAGTTAATTGAGTAACTGATGTGCCGGATCAGTCTATGAACATCTCAAAAATACTTACCTGTGAATACATCTGAACTCACTGAAGACATTGTTGCTACTCGCCCAGGAAGAGATTGACTACAGATACTAAACGTTACTGCGAAAACTCTTATTTTAAAGTAAACAAAATCCTTCTTAATAATGCAAAGTCGGCATTTCTAAGAGCTTTTGATGTGGGCTCTTTATTGTCATTGTTAAAAGACTTCATTATTATTATTGGCTGTTGAAGTCCCAACAAAGAAAGCCTCTTGTGTGGCTAATAGTAATCAAGCTAACTGCTTACTTTTGCTAAAGTTTTGCACCCGTTGCTATGGAAAATCGCGCTGAAGTTGCTTTAAAAGTATCATGAAAAGGTTATTAGCTCTAGTTGTCAATATTTCTATGCTTTGAATCTAGTTTGGAAAAGATTTGTCACTTGAATACGCCATTTAATGCGATACAGTTTTATGGCTTCATTGTTTATGGACAGCAAAACAGTCGTATTCTTAGTGTGTCGGTCCTGAATGCGCGAGTAAAAAAGGCGAGGTATAACTTCGTGCCTCATGAACCTTTGAGAATGAAACTGACTGTTTTGCCGCAGTCTTGTTTGAAAGCCAAAAATGTGTTCGACGGTCAGTTCCTTTAAGAGAAGTCCATTTAACGCGCTTCGCTGGGCAGCAAAAGTCTCGTCAGTTGCGCAACGTGAACCTAGGTTGAGATTAACCTCTAATTAACCTAGTTTCTTTACTGATTCAGACGTCCCCTGATGTGCCCGATAGAGGCAGGTATCGTTGACTCAAGCCGCGTGCACTGAAGGCACGTGCAGCATTTCGTTTAAGTGGACTCTTTTCCACCAATCATATCATTTCTACTATACATGTATTTCGTAAAACAGGATATGACATAACTGTAACAAAATTCTCTAACCTGATTGGCTGTCAGGACGGTGTAATAGGACAGTGCGCTCCATCGCACTTGAGTGCTTTTGTTTTTGTTCTTTCACTTGTAGCAAAAATTTAATTTTGAGATAACTAAAACTACCACAAACACAGAAAAAAATACTGTTCAACACCACGAACACAATAGGCTGATTTAGCAACAGAACGGGAACGTTAGTTGAGGACGGCGCGCGCAAATCAAACAACTGGCTTGACCAATAGCAGAGCGGTAAATTGGGCACCGGAAGTCAAGTTTAGTCCTTTCTGTGCGCTTTTAACACCAATGAAAAGAGCGCCTAAAATTAGTAATATTGCCAAGTTTAAAAGTGATCTGTTGAAATTTAACAGAAGTTTGTATGGTGGGGTGGGGGGCACAAACTTGTCCACCACCCCAACCCCCCCCCCCCCACCATACAAACGTCTCTAAATTTTCGCAGCTTTGCAGAGCTATACCTTCGCTCGCTAAAGACGTATCACTTTTAAATTTAGCAATCTTATTAATTTTAAGGCGCTCTTTTCAGTGGTGTCGACGGATTTCCTCTAACTTGTCCATATAAAAAGTTGAAAACACCGTGAAAAGGTCTATTACGCGCGTTTTAAAATTGCAAAATCACTTTTCAGTTATTTTTGAATAGGGAGAAGAAGGGTATATGTCTTGAAAATAGCCTGTGTATAAGTTATACAGGATAAAAACATCAATTTTGACATAAAAGCNAATGACCTTTTCTATGTTTTTTTAAATTTTTAAGTAGAAAAAGAAAGGAAAAATCCTAACCACAAAAAAAAAAAGGGCTCTAAAAAAAAAATAATTTTAAAATTTATAAGTTTTTTTTTTTTAAGGGAGGAAGTGATATTCTAAAAAAACGTGAAAAATTTTAGGGGTTTTGTTTGAGGGGGGGGGGGGGGTTGGGGGTGGTGGACAAGTTTGTGCCCCCCACCCCACCATACAAACGTCTCTAAATTTTCGCAGCTTTGCAGAGCTATACCTTCGCTCGCTAAAGACGTATCACTTTTAAATTTAGCAATCTTATTAATTTTAAGGCGCTCTTTTCAGTGGTGTCGACGGATTTCCTCTAACTTGTCCATATAAAAAGTTGAAAACACCGTGAAAAGGTCTATTACGCGCGTTTTAAAATTGCAAAATCACTTTTCAGTTATTTTTGAATAGGGAGAAGAAGGGTATATGTCTTGAAAATAGCCTGTGTATAAGTTATACAGGATAAAAACATCAATTTTGACATAAAAGCGTTTAAAAATTTTGCTCTGAAGAGCCCGATAAGGGCCTGGTTTTGATTTCTGATGTGCGCAGTGAATGATGGACTGGCTTTATCCCATAATATTCAGTATATAGCCTCGCGGTGCACCATGGTTAGTTCTCTTCGTTTGCTTGATAGAAAAAGATGGGTAAGTGTAACACGTGTTGGTCGAATTTTTGATACTTATTACTCATTGCAGCGTTTGAAGCACAGCAAAAATTCATCATTTATTGCTTATTGATAACCTTGCTGTGTCCTGGTGCCTTTTTCCTAAAGGAAAGCCAAGAGGTTTAAGAACTGCTCGCAAACTCAAAAATCACCGCCGAGAGCAAAGATGGCACGACAAAAATTACAAGAAGGCCCATTTGGGAACAGCTCTTAAGGCTAATCCCTTCGGTGGTGCCTCTCACGCCAAAGGAATCGTTCTTGAGAAAGTGTAAGTTGTTATAGTTGTTGTTTCTTCATGTCCTTGCTTCATTCTTGTGCATATTAATTTCGATGAGAAGGAAGACCAAGATGTAAGACTTGAGAGAAGTGTGGACTATTACGAGTAAATTGAGGATTTATTTTTGAGCTATTTTTTTTCGCAGTCGAAATCTCGACTTTTTAGCCGTTTATAACCAGTACATATTTATCCTGTTTCAATATGCTATGATTAAAATCTTTGTTTTACTTCAAACCAATTTCCAAAGGCGTGTATTGACACAAGTCTAACTAATCATTAGTGGCTATGATTTTCACTAGCGACTGAGCCCGAGTCGGAGTCGAAATTATAAGCGTAGAGCTTATAATCTAGTGAAAACAGCGTTCTGATGCCGCTCATGATTCTGTCACTTATGTTCCGCTTGTGATCTAGTGAAAACCAGATTGTCGGAGTTGGAAGCAGAAGCAGAAGCAGAAGAACCAAACCAATCACAAAGTGTGGGAACATGCATTGTGATTGGTTTATACTTCTGACTCCAACCACCCTCTAGATTGTCAAAATGATTTAACCAGGGGCATGATCTGACTAGGGTGAACCACACACCTGCAGTTTTTATGATAATATAACAGAACAATAGAAGGCTGTGTGTTTTTCTCTTCCTTTGGTATTTTTCTTGTATAGACTGTAAAGAAATAGTTTTAGGGTGTCAGTTTTAATGTCTTTGAATAAGAATGGAGTGATGCCCGAGGTTAGAGTCACTGGGCTGAGGCACTCCATGACTGCCCAGTGCTATTTCCTCGAAAAACAAAGTGTGTTCATATTCACTGGGTGGCCTGTGACAGTCATGCCGATAATTCAGATTAACCCAGTCACCTGCTCACAGACATTTTGGACATTAAACTAAGAGTGGTTTGGTTAGTGCAGGCCTTGTGGTCTGAGGAAGCACATGTATTTTGATTAACTAAGAATAACTTCTACTTGCATTGCTTACTTTTCTTTAATTTACATTGTTTAGTGTTAATATTGGCAAATTTATGTTACCTAAGTCTGTTAAGCTGTTTCTACAGTAGGGCTGTTGCTAAATTTCAAGTTGCCAGGTGTATGGGAATTAAATAGCTACAAGGTTCTTTTCATGCTGTTTCTATTTTGTTTCCTATGATAGTAGTGGGGTTCATGCTTATAAGACAGTGGAACCTCAATGTAACAAACCTCCATATAACAAGTCAAATAATTAGTCAGTATAACGAACAAGATTTTCTTCCACAGTAGTCGTAAACTATATGGAAAAGAAGCTTAATATAATGAAACCTTGTTTTAGCAAATTATTTTGCCAGGCCCTTGACCTTTGTCATTTTCTAGGGTCCACTTTAGCAGGAGGAAATCTCCTGTCCTCAGCCTTTAATGACAGTCCCTTACAATTTGCCTTGCCGATGACACATTTTTATATTTCAACTGTGGCTTTTGTGACTTTTCACAGAGGTGTTGAAGCCAAGCAGCCGAACTCTGCCATCCGAAAGTGCGTGCGTGTACAGCTTATTAAGAATGGAAAGAAGATCACTGCCTTTGTGCCTAATGATGGTTGCCTTAATTTTATTGAAGAAAATGATGAAGTTTTAATCTCTGGTTTTGGCAGAAGAGGTCACGCTGTTGGTGATATCCCTGGAGTGCGATTCAAGGTTGTGAAGGTTGCCAACGTGTCACTTCTTGCTCTGTTCAAGGAGAAGAAGGAACGTCCTCGATCTTAATTTTCCAGTTACAAGAATAAACTTGTGTAAAGTGCTTGAATGTTTCCTTTATTTCTCTTTATTAATAATGCTTAAGGTAAAGGTCCTTATTTTACAACAGAAGCACGTATGATTCTTCATTTGACAGACAAACTTTAGGCCAATGGTGCACTCATCCCCTCCCCCTCCAACCTCTCTCCATCAGTGCTCTGTTTGTTTTATGGGTAAAGCGACATGAAAAGGAAAGAAGTCAAAAGTAGGGTGTTGAGACCTCTGGCACATAATGCTGTGCATTAACCGACTCCTAATCCTTGTGCCTACATGAATTGAATCCGGGGCATGCCACATCCTCTTTGACAAGAGGGAGTCGACTCATTTTGCAGTTGTGTTACTCAATCATGACATAAACAGATCGTTTCTTACTTCCCATAAAATGCAATAAGTATTTTGTGCAAAAAGCTTGGTGTCATGTGCTGGTGCTTCCCTCCATTCTTGTTAACGTGTTGGAGATTCAGTCCAATGCCATGTACTTGTTACTGTGTGGTGTGAAGCAGCAAATTGCACAAAGAAGCTGTTTTCTTGATATACATGTTATTGACCAAGCTTGAGGTCAAGATGGCTGATATTGGCCAGGTTCTTTCTTGTACTTTTATGGACCAAGGCTAAGAATGAGGTTAATATTCAGCCATTTTGACCTAACAAGCTTGGTCAGTAAAGGATTTACTTTGTGGCTAAAACAAAATCTCTTTGTGCAAAACAAAGCAGTAAATCCCACACAGGTAAGATAAACTTATTTTGCCTGTGCAGACAGCCATTCAGAATGATGGATATGCTTCATCATAACTGTCCGATGAACAAGCCATATTATGACAAAATTACTTGTTCACTCACAACAGCTTTACTTGACCAATGAAGTTACTCTACAGGACAGAGTTAATGTTGGTACCAGAAAAAGCAAGGGATAAGAGAAGACAAGCTAATCCCAAGTGACAAACATACTGGTAAAATCAAATTTCACTTGGGAATCCAAAATCTTTTGTTACAAAATGAAAGAAAAAAATCAATCCTTTTCTGTACAAAGAAACTTTATTTACAGTCCTTAAAATAATATTCACTATCATTTTTGGCCTCCTGGTGTTTGAACAGCATTGACCTTGGCCAGGCAACATGTTTATAAGTCTGTCTATTCCATCAGCTATAAACTGTAGTCTAATATCTCTTTCTCTTCAAGATCTCTGGTTTCCAGTTAATCGGATGTGTATCTTCACTCTAACAACAACAAAACAAGAAAGGGTTGTCATTATAAATGATGGAGGGGTTTTTCTAATATTTAGAGGCTGAGGGCATGCAGGGTTTCAACTTAACTTCAATATTATTATTAAGGCTTATTTCCCCCTTTGCCCCAAGTTGCTTGGTTAAAGCCATAAAGTTGGGTTGATGGCCTTTGTAAAGCCAGAAACAATGGGCAATGAAATAAATAATGGAACAAGATGAGCTTTGATTCTTCTGTTAAACCATTTAGTGGCTCTCAAACTTAGCAAATTGGGGCCGGTTGCTCGAAGCCTGGTTAGCGCTAACCATTGGTTAAGAGGTATCAAAATGTATAGGTTTCCATGGTATTTAACGCTGGTTAGCACTAACCATGCTACGAGAAACCCGGGCCAGGGTGGGGGTTAGAAATTCTCCGCAGGGATGTAGCATAGGAAAAGCTGGTGGTAAGCTCTTTTTCAGCCAGTGAAATTAGCCAGCTCTTGGCGACATCCCTGTCTCTGCCCAAAATCGACTAATACTCACCGCTGTATCATCTTCCTTGTAAATCTTCACAGTCTTGTCAGCTTCACATGTGATGAGACGACTACTACTCTGGTCAAATGTCATGGCAAAGATACCAGCTTCACTGTCAAGTGACCCAGGTTGTACAGAAGCCTGAGAGCGCTGGAAGTTATAGCCAGTCTTCCAATCCCAAAAATGCATTGTGCCATTATCACCTGATAGAGTACAGCAGTATTAATTTCACTGATGGGCAAAGTAACTATGGGGAACACTCGTGGATAAATTGAGTAGAAATTAGAGAAATCAGAACATAAAAAATCTTTTTGTTGAAATGTCATGACCAAAAAAAATTTCCACTGCCATAAAAAATCAACTAAAATTTATGACTTAACTTTTCAAGCATCCATATTACAGAAGACATGCTGCATTTTTCACCAATATTGGTTCAGCTAGATTAATAATTTGCTATTTTCATCTGTTTTTACTTGGTGTTTTAAGAGTAGTAATTACTATTTTTTAACCATAGGTAGTATTAAGGTTAGGATTACAAAAATAAGGGAATAGAAACATTATGTCCTTCACATGGATAAACAGAATTTTCAGAGATGATTACATAACTATACCCACCTCCTGATACTAAAACTCCATCTGAGTTGACTGCCATACAATTTACAATAGCATTGTGTCCAATAAGGTTCTGAAGGAAATTACCATCTGGAAACTTCCACTGTTTAATGTTGTCTGGTGAAGCTGATGCAAATGAAAATCTACAAAGTACAATAATATTGAAAGAGCAGAGGTTAGCTTAAAGGCACGACTAAAGCCAAACTACACTGTATTAACACAATAAGCATAGGAAACTTAAGCTCACCCTGTGATTTGACATTAACCCAGAATTATGTGTATCAGGTTTCAAGTACCCAGTGCATACTAACTCTTAACCACTGCTGGCCAGCCTACAAGTAGTCAGTGTTGTAGTTAAACATTATTTTTCATTGGCTATTTTTAAAACTACATACTGTGTTTGTAATCAACACAGTGCTTAGTGACACTTACTGAGTTGGGTGCAAGACTAGTGCTCTAACACTTTTTTTGTGATTTGTCAGTGTAACTTTAGATTTGCCAGCTGCCAAGTCCCACAGACGAATAGTACAATCATGGCTTCCTGTTATAACCTATAAAATATAAAACAGTATAAAATGCAATGGACTATAAAACCATGGAAAAATGAGTCACGCACTGACTGATGAAATTTAGCAGTTATTGAATGACTTCTTTTTCAGCCCAGTACACATTTTACAGATTTATTGGCTTGAACAGTATGTATGTATCATATTACAAGAGGAAATGAACCACCAAAAGTTAAGTGCTGTTCTAGATCTTTGTTGCATGGGACACATCACATGCTTGTATCCCGTGTTTGTACAAATAAGATCTAGTATTTCTGTTGCACAACATTAACGAGATGACCTGGGTAAGGAATCAAGCCACCTCCTGCCTGCTGTGCATAAAATTAGGAAGCTTATAGCCATGACAATGGCCATGACAGCAAAAACCTCACTATTTAAAAGACTTTGCTTTTTTTCAAACTTTGTCGCGATTATTCTGACTTGCGTTAAATCTCAAATGTAGGTGAATTTCCCTGGAACTGATTACTTGGTTACTGCACCCACGTTTAGAGAGAGAGAAAGAAATTTGTAGTCTTGTGTTTACGTCCTCCATAAAACGTTGCTTTAGGGAATTTTACATTGTAGTCATGCAGTGACGGCAAAGAAATGTACAAAAAAGCGTGATGCACATGTAGAGTTGTTGTTTTGCCGATTAAACTTATTGTTTTTTGACATTCTTGTTGCCATCCCTGCAATCATTGCTAAAGCTCCCTATTATTAAATTATTAGGACTTCAGGAGACTCACAGATTATTTATTCAACCTAAGGCACTGTCCACAACTTCAAGAGAGGTTCTCCTTGTAAATACTAACTACATTACCTGTGGTTCTGCAGCCTGTGATCTTACAACTGCTACTGTGCTTGTATGTCCAGTTAATGTGTGAATACAGGCTTTTGTTCTCATGTCCCAAACCTGTGGAAGAAGTAAAAAATATTTCATGTATCTGTAGCCAGTCCTTAGTTGAAGCATGTCATACAAAAACAAAACATTTTTGTGACATGATACAATTCTTAACCACTTCTTGATTGTGGACTCAAAAGTTTCCTTCCTGAGCAGTAATAATATAATATATTTTTACCCTGGTTGTTGCATCTCTGCCACATGTGAACAATACATCAATTGTTGGGTGAAGATCCAAGGAATAGATTGCACTCAAATGACCATGGTAATGTCGTACAACCTGTAAGGAAATACAAGAAAAAACCTCATAAAACAATAACACAAATAAAATGACAGTCAAACCAATACTTTTAGGATGTGCAGGTCCCTGGCAAGTTAGCAGTATGCCATTCCAAAATCTTAAAAGCCTGTTTCATCCTAATTGTATTGTCTTTACTTGGAATTTTTTAAAAGCTGTCTGTTTTTACACTGATGAAATCTCTAAATGTGTGTACATACCTTATTATACTCGAGGTCCCAGCACTTGACTTGCTTATCTTCTCCACAAGAGAAGAGATATGGTTGTCTTGGACTTACAGCCAGTCCCCTCACAGTGCTGATGTGACCTGTTAGCGACAATTTTAATTTGCCACTTCCAAGCTCCCAGATCTATCAGAAGGACAGTACATGATTACATTGCATTGTTATTGCATAATAAGTCATTTCTTTAGCAGTTGACAACATCTCATTACTAGGCAGCTATTGCCTGTTTGTAATGGGAAAAAGTGTCTGTTTATCCTCTGATCTTGTTTCAAAATCATAGATAATCTTATTCACTCATAACAAACATCATCATGAAAATGAAAAACCAGATGTCCAGTAACAGACCTTCCAACTCTTACGATTCTGCTGTGAGTCTCACTATTTTTAAACTTTTCTCATGGCCTAATGACAAGACTCCCAATCTCAGGGTTTTTTGGGAAATATCAGTTCAAAATAAAATGTTATCTTGTTGAAATAAAAAAGGGGCAAATTCGTGGGGAATGCTAGTGCCTCTTTAAGCCTTGATGGCACTTCGTCTAACATTTTGGCCATGAAGTTGAATGCTGTAAGTTTCTCCCCAGTGATTACCTCATCCCTGGCCTCTCAAAGTCATCAACGAAAAAGTGGCACCTTGTTACAAGAGGGACCACAAATATATAAAAAAAACAAGGTAACTTTTAAATAAACAGCTTATTCCCCAAATGGAAAAAGGGTTTGTTTTATCTTGTTTGGGAAAAAAAATGGAATTTCAGTACTTTTTGTAGAATCTCCCAATTGTTTTTCATAAGTCTCCAGATTTTCCTTTTTTGGGGGTTGGCAGGTCTGCAGTAAAAAAACCACATCTGAAATGAAATCTACGGTACCATCCATGGTTGTGTTTGTGTTTTGTCCTTTACCTTATGAATACAGAATATAATGATCCTAGTAAAAATCATATAACGTTCATTACCTTTATTGTCCTATCAGCAGAACCTGTTACAAACCACTGGTTACCAGGTTCCACAGCCACAGACCTCACCCAACCTGTATGACCACTGATTACCTAATAAACACCACTGAAACTTTAGTGATTACTTAATGACAATTTAATACCCAAAATAAGTAACTAAATGTAGTTTACTTGATTTGGTAAGGAAGGAGTGCGGGTGCAGGAGGCCATTGTGCAGTGAAGAGGTTCTTAATATTACAATACAAACATTTTACTCTATTGCACCTGCAGTTCTACTGATTGCTATAGATTATTGATTTAGTGCAGACCCAGAAGTCAATATAAGCCGCATAAAGAAGTCCATGGTTTATCTCTGAAAGTCATATGCCTACCCTCATTAGTTTCCATGGTGGATGCCATTGTGGTTTAGGAAGTGTTGCTGCTTTCTTTTGTTGTACCAATGCTGTTGATGATTTTGTTCCTCCTGTTGCTACTAATGCTTTTGAGGATGGGCCAAGTCGTTCTTTTCCACCTGAGGCAAGTGCTTTCTGTTGTATGTCCATGATGCCTGCACTCTTTCTGCCAGCTTGGAGACTAAAATATACCAGTTGAGAGTTATTTAGTTCAATAATTTGACATACATCAGAAAAATAGTTGACACATGTGTTTTGGGGGAAGATGAACAACAAAGAACTTTCTTTGCACACTTGGAGCTCATAAGCTCTACTGGATCTGACTGCAAATAAAGCTTTTCAGTGTACTCACTCTCCTGGAAGATTAGCCATCAGTTGTTGTACTCCAGCCTGTGATGGATGATTTCTGTTTGCCATTGTTTCTGATGTTAATGTCACACCTATAGTGAAGGTAATATTTAAAGTAAAACTATGAACACAGGAATTTTAATAATACTGAATTACAGTGGCTAATCACAATAAAGTTCCAAACTTATGTGTTATCTTTTGCTAGCTGTTTATATTAGTTTCTATTTGTAGTTTTAGCTTTTATTATCACCTTGTATATTTTATGTGTTTTGTGTTGGCGTGATGTTCCTCGTGGATGTTGATTTAAGTTTAATGTCCTTAGTTATTTAAATGGTACACTTTAGCATGATATCAAACTGAAAATGTTCATACTGACAAATGTAATTTGAAGCAAAAAAAACATGGTATATGAAAGTTTTCTTCCAAAGTACCAGAAGCACTGAATATGTTTTACATACACCAAAATCTTGAAAGGTTTAAGAAACCTGTAGTACTTTAAGGGCACTTTTGATCAAGGCCATATTTTGAATTAGAATAATAATTTCATCAATGAAATAATCTCTAGAAATTCCTGACAAAGCAATCTTTGTCAGAGATGAAATACATGCAAAAAAGGCCCCAGGAACCATACTACGAGGCAAAAAAATGTTCATATTTTGGAAAAATGAATAAATTCCAGACTAAGGCACAGTCAAGCTCAAAAGTCTCCCTTTTCCAGGGATACGCAGGAGATTAGTGCAGTATCCAGGAGACTCCAGGATAATCCAGAAGAGTTGGCAAATACGTAACCACACGTCACCTGGAGCAGATGGATAAGGATGTGATCCTTGAATAAGTGGAGGGATATCTGAAACTGACAAAAGAAAAAAAAGAGATAACATAAGCAAATGCTACATGATATCAATTACTTTCTTGCCTACTTTCTAGTGCTGTGTTTGTATTGCTAGTTCATGTCTACAATAAGAATAAGAATATGAATCGGTGATACCAAACCTTGGTTTGAAGGGTAGGCTCCAGTAACTGGATTTCTATTAGATGAGTAAGTTTCTTTAGGCAACACCAAATCTTTGACCATAAAATATTCATCATGAATCTTACAGGCTTTTTTCACTTTGTCACTGAGGAAAAAATAAAAAGAATTAGAACTAACTAGAACATCAATGTTACTTAATACACAAATTTCTTAATTACATCGCTGGTTTGCACGTGACATCACGGCAGCCATGCTGGTGGTCAAGAACATAAGCATTTCTCTCCTCTGGGAACTTAACTCTACTTTCACGTAAACTCTTCGAGAAAAAAATATATTGTGCTGACCCCAAGATAGCCGCCTTGTCACGTGGTTGCAAGCCAAGAATATACCAATGTCTTCATGTGTAAACTTTGAAAACAGCTGTCCTTATTTGATGACTGCTGCAGACTGCATAGCCACAATCATATTGAACACATGGTACATAATAAAATAGAGACAATCAGTTAGGCTTTAAATGCTCACCTCTTGTCGTCTCTTTTAAGTGGAAGAGAACTATCATGAAGAAACATATCATGGCTTCTTTTCAGCGATCGAAATACCAGTGTGTGTACGGAATGCTTTACAATATCCTGAACAAAAAGAGACTCAAAAGATCAGTGTAAATCGTACGAAACGCTTATACCAAGAACATGCAGGTCTTACCTCCGCCATGTTGAACGCGACTAATGCGTTCACGCATGTACAAAACATTAGACCGCTGTTTAATTGGCACACATAGAGGTCTGGGAAGGAAAAAGAACAGTGTTTCCCGCCATCGTCCAAACGGAGCAAGTCGGAAGAAGTCGCATTCTGGTGTTTCGAATATTTTTAAAAAGTGTATTACAAAATAAAGATGGAGGAAACAATAGATGAATCAACAATCAGGAAGTTTATTCATAGGATTTTCAGGAAAAGCAATAACATCGGGTAGGATTTCCCCTCACCCGTTAATGTTTGTGTTGTCCCATAGCTCTGCATCAAAAGCATGCTTCTGACTGTATACACAGGTAGCTTGTGGTTATCTCCATTTAAAAAAAAACGATATAAGCTTACACGGAACGCGTTGCTAGAAGGGGAACATTAGAACTTGAGGAAACAAATTAACTGGTTTCCCAAGGGACTAAAAAGGAAAACCCCACCTCAATGATCTTTCATGCAAAAAATCACCTTCCTTTAAAGATGCAGGATGGTTTGAGGGGTGCATATTAGATCATTAAGGTTTAATAATTTCCACTTTTCTTTGTAGGACACTGACAGTAAAATCAGTTCGAGAACAATTTTTAAAGTACACAGGAAAAGAAAAACTTGATGCAGAGCAAAAAGAGCTCTTCAAGAAGAATGTGCATGACATTTATACTGAGTATGCCAACAAACAGGAAGGGAAAAGTAAAGAGGAAGGTAAGAGTTTTATCTTTTTTTGTAAGAAAGATCAGCCCATCTGGGTCTAGAGTGCTAAACTGTAGACAAAGCACTAAAGCCAATTGTGATATGCAAAAATTAAAAAGAGAAGTGCCTCGATTTCATGCAATAAAAGGACTTTTAGAAAGTGTAGTCTACAGATCCAAAGGTTGGTGTGTTAAACACCTAGGGAACAACCCCTTCACTCCTAAGCACACTTGCAAATGTACTGGCCTCAGTTGTTCAAAGAGCAGATAGCGCTATCCACTAGATGGTAGGAAAACTAATAAATTGCTTATGTAGTGGATAGAGGTTTATCCAGCGGATGGAGCTATCCACTTTTGAACAACCAGGGCCTGTTGTATTACAAAATGCAAAACATTTTGTGCTATTTGTTCTAGGATCAGATGGGGAAGACTCCACTGAGACATCAACTGTAGATGATGAAGATGACACAGCATCCTCAACATCTACCAGCCCAGCCGAGAAGAAAAGGAGGACAGAAGTCAGTAATAAATCAACTTACAATTATTCAAATAAGGAGGAAATTAATAACAATGATGATTGGGATACTAGTACATCTAGAGAGAAGAAAAATCTCAAAAAGAGGCAAACCAATAAACAAAGATCAGAAGATGAGGACAGAGAGAAAGCCAATGAACCTAAGAACAAAGAATCACCCCAAATAAAGTCTGTTGTTGTCAACAGTGATGAGGAAAAATCAAGCAAGAATAAAGTGATGACAGACAATAATGCACAATTTAATGGCAGAAAGAGAAAGTCTGTAGAATCTAGTGATGAAGAAGATGAGGAGAACAAGGAACAGGAGGTTGAAGAGAAAACTGTGTTTATGTCAAACAAAGAAGCAACACACAGAATTGATGAGGAGGATGATTATGCAAATTCCAGCAGCAGTGAATCAGTTGAGGAGGATCAGAAACAGCAGACTGGAAGAAAACCGTCCAGAAGGATCAACCAGAACCTAGATGAAGATATTGATAGATCCAAAAAGAAAAAACTGAAAAAGAAATCAAAGGTGACTCATTGACATAGTGTATATTTGAACAACTAATTAAAAGGGCTTTTGTTATTTTCACTGTATATTTTAGTAATCTATTGTTCCTTCAAACAATTGTTGAAGGTTATTATCCTTTTTTTCCTTAACAAAACAGACTAGTCCTGGTTCTGGACAAAGAAAGAAGAAATCCTCACCGCCTTCGGAAGATAGTGCAAAGCTGCGTAACCTGAAGAGATACGCTAGAACTTGTGGAATGCATTTTAAATATGTTGATATTTTTGCTGATTGCAAATCCATGTCCCAGAAGGAGAGAAAGTTAGACAAATTGATACGAGACAGAACTGGGTTTGAAGGTAATGCATTCCAAAGATTGTTTATGGTACCATTAATCCTCTATTAAGCCCCTTTTCAAATAAGCCCCCCCTTTTCGGGGGAAGAAAGTTAATAAGCCCCCTTCTCTTTTAAGCACCCCTCCCCTCCCCATTATTATTCTTCACAAATAAATTTTATACCGTATTAATCAATCATGACTTTACAACTTCGTGTGAACTGATCTGGGATGGTTTATTCACAAACTGGAACTTCGGATTTGTTTCTGATCCTCTGCTGCATGGCCTCCAACTTCTTGCACTTGAGCTTTTTTCACTTTGTATTATAGCTCTTTATGGAGAACTGATACCATTATCTTTGCTAAATTAAATACGCCCCCCTCTCAAATAAGCCCCCCATCTCTATGAAGCTCCCCCTCCTCAACTGTGTTTGTAAGACAGTTGAACCCTCACTAACAGCCACGTCTCTACAACAGCCACTTTTTTTTGTCCCGGCAGACTGTCCATACATTTACTCTTTTTTAAACCTCTCTACACACTAACGGCCACTAAAGCGTGTTCCCAACCGCAAAAATATCCTTGACAATGGCCAGTTTTTTCAGTGACTGATGAATAAGTCAGGAATGGTCACGAAATTTGATCCATAAGGTGTGTTGATGATTAATAATTGCGGCAACGTATTTTGATTGTGTTCCATTTATACTGCTGCATTAAGTATAAATTGTCTACGATACTTGTTCATTTTATGATGTCAACATTTTGATTCAAAACATTATTCAAGTTTTTTGTGTGTGTATTTTATCTCTCTGTATATTATTTATGATTGGATTAACATTATGGGATACAACAAGCAAGAAGGTAGCACAATAAACATGTTGTACCCCCTAAGAAGAATTTGTCATATGACACCCCTACCCCCCCACAATGGCTACCTTTCCACAACGGCCACTTTCTTCTGCCCCCAAGGTGGCCATTGTATAGAGGTTCGACTGAAATTAAGCCTCCCCCCCATGGGGTATAATAGAGGGTTTACGATATTTTATCCCACGCAAATTTTTCACTTTAGCAACAATTCTCTAAAGATGTCTTAAACTGCACGAACATCTTTTGAGTCATGTTCATAGATATGTTCTTGTGTGTTTAGGAAGGATAACACTTCAAATGTGTGTGAAGTACAAGAAAAAGAAAGAAGAAGAGGATGAAGTAGCTGAGCTAGACTGTAGAAACATTATCACAACTGGTCAGTATTTGCCACAGGTTTATATATTTGATGTAGTAATCTTTTAATAGGTTAGGTCATGGCATTTTTGGAATGACTTTGCTTATTTTGTGAACAAGCATTTTAAGAATTAAGTATCAGCGGAAAAAAACGCCTTTCAGCGGAAAAGTCATTGCCACTTAATTATGGTTACTAAGCTTATATATTATAAGTGACATACCTTTATACAAATTGAGAAAACTTGACAGACTGTTTTTGAATTTTATCTTTATTAAATCCGTTTTAATCTTCAGTTTCACCTCCTTTTTGTGAATTTCTCTTGTGTTCATCTAAAGTTTGAGGTAGCTGATAATTCTGTGTTTGTTTTTCCAAAGTAGCATGATTATGGCGGCTCATCAGCTGACTGGCTGTACTCCTAAAATTTGTTACCAGAGAAGGATTTCAATTGCTAGTTTTTAATGTATATAGCTTTAACTGATAAGTTCTAATTCATCCTGTTGTTGCATCTTCACTTACAGATAGCAATGGTCGCCGTCCAACAAGAAGCGCACGTACAGGTTCAGTGAACCAGCCATCCGCCAGCGCTACCAACATAAACACAGAAGCCGGCCCAAGTGTATTCAGTCGTCTTAAGGGCGTAGTGGACAGTGATGAAAGTGAAAGTGATTCCGCAAATGAAAAGAAATCAGAAAAACAAACACAACATGATTTTGATGTCAGGGAGGAGGACATTAATGAAAATAAAAAGAAAAGGCGAAGGGTAAACAGCAGTTCAGACGAAGATGATGACTAGGGACTTGTCTCAGTGCTTTATGCCGCGTATAAGTTGTACCAAGCCAGAACAGTTTTTAGTTGATTGTGGTAGACCTAATATCAGAGTCTCTATCAACTTCGACCATTTTAAGTCAAAGCAGCTCAAAGTCATTTACTGTNTCGACTGAAATTAAGCCTCCCCCCCATGGGGTATAATAGAGGGTTTACGATATTTTATCCCACGCAAATTTTTCACTTTAGCAACAATTCTCTAAAGATGTCTTAAACTGCACGAACATCTTTTGAGTCATGTTCATAGATATGTTCTTGTGTGTTTAGGAAGGATAACACTTCAAATGTGTGTGAAGTACAAGAAAAAGAAAGAAGAAGAGGATGAAGTAGCTGAGCTAGACTGTAGAAACATTATCACAACTGGTCAGTATTTGCCACAGGTTTATATATTTGATGTAGTAATCTTTTAATAGGTTAGGTCATGGCATTTTTGGAATGACTTTGCTTATTTTGTGAACAAGCATTTTAAGAATTAAGTATCAGCGGAAAAAAACGCCTTTCAGCGGAAAAGTCATTGCCACTTAATTATGGTTACTAAGCTTATATATTATAAGTGACATACCTTTATACAAATTGAGAAAACTTGACAGACTGTTTTTGAATTTTATCTTTATTAAATCCGTTTTAATGTTCAGTTTCACCTCCTTTTTGTGAATTTCTCTTGTGTTCATCTAAAGTTTGAGGTAGCTGATAATTCTGTGTTTGTTTTTCCAAAGTAGCATGATTATGGCGGCTCATCAGCTGACTGGCTGTACTCCTAAAATTTGTTACCAGAGAAGGATTTCAATTGCTAGTTTTTAATGTATATAGCTTTAACTGATAAGTTCTAATTCATCCTGTTGTTGCATCTTCACTTACAGATAGCAATGGTCGCCGTCCAACAAGAAGCGCACGTACAGGTTCAGTGAACCAGCCATCCGCCAGCGCTACCAACATAAACACAGAAGCCGGCCCAAGTGTATTCAGTCGTCTTAAGGGCATAGTGGACAGTGATGAAAGTGAAAGTGATTCCGCAAATGAAAAGAAATCAGAAAAACAAACACAACATGATTTTGATGTCAGGGAGGAGGACATTAATGAAAATAAAAAGAAAAGGCGAAGGGTAAACAGCAGTTCAGACGAAGATGATGACTAGGGACTTGTCTCAGTGCTTTATGCCGCGTATAAGTTGTACCAAGCCAGAACAGTTTTTAGTTGATTGTGGTAGACCTAATATCAGAGTCTCTATCAACTTCGACCATTTTAAGTCAAAGCAGCTCAAAGTCATTTACTGTTTTAAGCCTGAAAATGACTGCAACTTGAGTAAAACAAGGAAAATGCAATTTCTACTAATGATACAGAGTTTTACAAGTTTAATGAAGTTCCTTGAACGTATTACCGCTTACAAACTTTCAGGTCTTTCATTCATATCTGATAAAGGATAGTGTAGCAAAAATTGTATAAATATGTAAAAAACAAAACTATTACTTTATTTTCTTCCATGTTCTTGATATGCATAGAACCTGTAAAATTTCAATAGAACTTTTAACAGCTTACACTCTAGATATTTACAACCATAAACGTAACACCAGAGACTTTTCATGCGCGGTTTTGTTCGGTTTCGGTTAAGTCTCAAATATCGCCGGGATAGTGACCCGCGAGAAAATCAGAGAAAAATGCGTCGGCGCGCGAAAAAGAAAACCCTCTGGTACCCAGGATAACACCCCAACAACGAGATCTTGAATTTGTTTACCTTTCCAGCAGGTCTGGTTGGATGTTAAAAGTTCTAGACCTTGCTTAAAGCTCTTGCTGACATCCCTAATGAGAACGCAGGCTTGATGAGAACGCATCAAGGGCATGTTTCCAGGCTCCGACACCCTTTTCCCTCCCCAGATCTAGAGTATTCTAGACTACCTCTCGGCTCGCTTCGCTCGCCGAATTTTTTTTTTCGCCCACGCCGACTTTTTTCCTCCTTTTTTCCCCAATGCAGAGCCTGGTCTCAGGCTAGTAAAAATAGCGCTTTGTTTAACCCAGTTTATAGAACACGTGCGCCCTCCTTCGAAACCAAATAACACTTTCACCTCCAGTGATCCTCAGATCAATGTCTTTTCGCACCATTTAGAGTAATACTATTACCGCTAAAGCACTGGAGAACGTGTCGTTACGAAATTTACAACCACGAAAAAACCCAGTAACGTTAACAATTTCAGACTGATAGTGCATCAATATTAAAACTTTGACATTATTAAAACTTTCTTAGTAACATAGTGTGTTATTACAAGATCTTTATATTTTGGGGGGCAAGGGAAGTTGTCATACTTAATCTCTTTAATTTGAGTTTCCGTTCAACTTTTGTGGTGTCCCTCCCTGCGTGCTACCCTCCGCGGGCTACGCTCCCCCTTTTGTTAATTGTTTTCTCATCGCCGACAATGCACCCCCGCTGAAGGAGATACTCAGATATGAGTGGTGCACAGTAGCTGTGTTTATCGCTGTAAATTGTTGTTGATACTGCTGTTGCTGTTGTTGTTTTGCCCTGCGTGCAGTTTTTTACGTACGTGTAGACACTTCATTGAGCTGTATATGAATGGTCCCCGTTGACCTGCAATGGATGCTGGGAAATAAACATGGCGGGAAAGTCAAATCACTTTTAAGTGTGTGGAATTTCTTCAAATTTGTGCCATTTATTTGCCTTGTGTGTCAACGTTATATGGATTAACAGTTAAAAGGATATTCTTATTTGTGATTTGAAATGAGAAACCATAAAAAGCGGACTACGAGAAAGGGTAGAACGGCTTCTAGCGTGACGCAGAAGAGGAATCGAACAGCTGAACGAACAACTGGTAGGGTTCATTTCAGTTTGTTTATATTAAAGTAGCGTGAGCTTTTAGTGTTAAAATTAGAGAGTTGCTTTTAACTTAAGTTTAAATTAATCTGATTTGATCTTTTGTTATTACAACGTTTTCCTTAAGGATACACATGAATGAGCTTTGAAGATTTTTTTAAATTGATTAAATTATTTTACCCGTCTATTCAAGGGCCAGTTTTAATTTCATTTCGCTGACAGTAAATAGAATCATACATTTTTTCAGCTCCTCGCATTCATCCCAGTCGTGTATCTGATCTTGAGCAAGTCCCAGTGGTTACCAGCCTACCCCCAGCTGTGGATGGTCATCTGAGGTGTTTTCTGCGAGTGTCTGTGCAAACAATTCACTGGAGAATACCAAAGTATCCTGATGACGTTCAAGTACGACTTAAATGGTGGGGTGAAGAAGGGGATGGTGTCTTGTTCAGGTGATTACACACTATTATTTAAACTATCAAAGTCTCTGTTCTGCCTACAGGTAAAAAGTGTAGAGTATTAATATTTGCATTTCAAACAGTACTAAATTGAATGACTGTAATAAATTTTTGTCCTTATCATTTATGATTTATTAGGCCCAGAGATGACAAAGCAACTGACCCATCACATGTTTCGAAAACATTTACCTGTGTTCGCTATGCTGTGTGTAGTGGTCCCAAACAATTCAGCGCTTACTTAAAAGGTATTTTAAATCAGCTGATGGGATTTCAGAAATGTCTAAATAGTAACCTTCAAAGGTTTTGGTGGCAGGGGCTTTTTATGAACCTGTCAAGAGAGAACAGCTTAAAATGATATTTAAAACAGTATTTCCTGTAATAAGACTGTAGTGAGAAGTAAATTTCTCTTTTAGACATGGGATCACTAATATTTGATGTAGTTCATGGTCCTTCGCTGATATTGTTGGGACATGTTCGACTGGCTGATGTTACACAGCTTTCTGCAAGTGATCCTATCCAGGGGTAAGTTCAAAGGCATAGTAAACTGACCTACAAGTCACAGATTAGTAAATATATTTGAAGTATTGTAGTGATTTTCGTTGAAGTTACTGTCAAACTAACCAAACTGTAAACACCTAAAATATTAATTAATGTTTATTGTTTCATGACCAATCACAGTGACGACCAGGACATCCAAACAAGTCATGCTGTCAGTAATAACTGTTGCTGCATGTGACTTAGTTTTCCACACCTGATTTGCTCTTCTCTTACAGCACAATAACATTCCAGAAATATTTCTGGAGCTTGTGGTTTTGAGTTTGACAGCACAATACTAGTTAGCTATGGTTCAAAGACCTGGTTCTGGCTTCATTTCTTATTGTGAAATGAAAAGCATTGGTTACTCTTTTCCCAAAATAAAAGTAACAATTAAGAGAGAAGAAGTGCCTTTATTTACCATACAGTCATTTGTACACACATAACCTATTACATTACTACAAGGCAGGAGATCAAGCAAGCTCTGTGGAGCTTTTAGACGATCTCTGCAATGAAAGACCCTTTCAAACCTTTTTACTCTGTTAATTTTGCTGAACTCAAACCACCTGGCCAAAAGAAACTTATGGAGAAAAGACAATTCCTTGCATTATGTCTCAAGCTGAGTGGATTAACTTACAGACTTAACAGATTGTGATTTATCTTTGATATTATTTTAGCTTCTTTGATGTCATTTCCACAACTTCACCTGGTGGCAAAATAGCCCTGTTGTACATCACTTTAAGATTTGAGTCAATATCAGGTAACTATCTAAATCAACTCATACAAAGTCAAGACTGTGTTTTAAGAAAAATTGAAGGAAGCCCATTACTCTGAATGTGTGAATCTTGGGTTGTCCACTATATGATTTCAATAAAAAAACTAAGATTTTCTTGTCACCTAGCTCTAGGAGCAAACGTTAGGTGCCCAACCAGGGACCACCAAGTGCTGGTAGAGCACAGCTTTGAAAGTGTTATCCCAGCACAAGTACGTCCAATATATTTTTGCCAAAGGCAGAGGACATCCCTGCATGTTTGTGATTTTCTTGACTTCTATAACTATAACACATGTTCATATTTTAAACTCTTCCAGCAGCATACAACCAGATATCATTAACCATACCAACAGTAGACATGGAGATGGATGCACAAAGGAGACGACCTTCTGATGAAAGTGATGTCCAGCCTACTCCACCTCCTCTCTCCTTAAACCCTGCCACACCCATCACCCATCCCAGACTGACTGCACAGGACACTGACCCCTTTGTGTCACCAGCACCCCATACTAAGGTATATTGTATTACTGGTATACTTAATCTCTTATCGGATTCCCAGTAGCATGCCTAGTGGTTATTGTACAGTAATGTACCAAGTCAAAGGTTCATTGTGAAGATACAAGATGAGATCATGATATCCTGGGATTCGTTATACCCTAGGACACTGCATGTCTTAGTGCCCCTTTCCCAGTGCATTCAAAATTTTTGCTATAATTTCCTGTGTTTAAAATGTTCATTTAAGTGTTGACTTTTATGAGCTGCAACTTTTTTTGTTAATTTTAAGTGAAAGCTACTGTTCAAAATTAAATTCAGGTTAAGACTTTTCAACCCAGGTTGATTCTCAGTTTCCTATTTTTTTCTCAATTTCCTAATTCATAAATAATTAAGGTTAGAACACAAAGGAAATAGAAAATCAACGTGCTGAATGCCTGTTGTTTTTTAGGTTGTCAAGTTTGCTCCAAACAGTCCTGAGCGATTAGAATATACAGCAGAACAATCACGAGAAGCAACTGATGGAAGGGAAGTTGAGGACACCTCAGAGAAAGGTTTATACACATTTCATTAGCAAAGTTTTCAATGTATATTTCAAGTTAAATGGACCAAAACAGATTTATCATGAAGATTGTGGGAGGTATTTGATCTTTTGTTATTACAACGTTTTCCTTAAGGATACACATGAATGAGCTTTGAAGATTTTTTTAAATTGATTAAATTATTTTACCCGTCTATTCAAGGGCCAGTTTTAATTTCATTTCGCTGACAGTAAATAGAATCATACATTTTTTCAGCTCCTCGCATTCATCCCAGTCGTGTATCTGATCTTGAGCAAGTCCCAGTGGTTACCAGCCTACCCCCAGCTGTGGATGGTCATCTGAGGTGTTTTCTGCGAGTGTCTGTGCAAACAATTCACTGGAGAATACCAAAGTATCCTGATGACGTTCAAGTACGACTTAAATGGTGGGGTGAAGAAGGGGATGGTGTCTTGTTCAGGTGATTACACACTATTATTTAAACTATCAAAGTCTCTGTTCTGCCTACAGGTAAAAAGTGTAGAGTATTAATATTTGCATTTCAAACAGTACTAAATTGAATGACTGTAATAAATTTTTGTCCTTATCATTTATGATTTATTAGGCCCAGAGATGACAAAGCAACTGACCCATCACATGTTTCGAAAACATTTACCTGTGTTCGCTATGCTGTGTGTAGTGGTCCCAAACAATTCAGCGCTTACTTAAAAGGTATTTTAAATCAGCTGATGGGATTTCAGAAATGTCTAAATAGTAACCTTCAAAGGTTTTGGTGGCAGGGGCTTTTTATGAACCTGTCAAGAGAGAACAGCTTAAAATGATATTTAAAACAGTATTTCCTGTAATAAGACTGTAGTGAGAAGTAAATTTCTCTTTTAGACATGGGATCACTAATATTTGATGTAGTTCATGGTCCTTCACTGATATTGTTGGGACATGTTCGACTGGCTGATGTTACACAGCTTTCTGCAAGTGATCCTATCCAGGGGTAAGTTCAAAGGCATAGTAAACTGACCTACAAGTCACAGATTAGTAAATATATTTGAAGTATTGTAGTGATTTTCGTTGAAGTTACTGTCAAACTAACCAAACTGTAAACACCTAAAATATTAATTAATGTTTATTGTTTCATGACCAATCACAGTGACGACCAGGACATCCAAACAAGTCATGCTGTCAGTAATAACTGTTGCTGCATGTGACTTAGTTTTCCACACCTGATTTGCTCTTCTCTT